CTACCATCAAGCTTGATGATCTCAATTTCCCAAACCATCGTCTTGCCATTATAAAGGAAGTCAAAGTGTGTAGCCTCTACTATAGGCTTCTTCCATAATATTCTAGCTGTCCATGACTGCCAATGGTGGCTAACACACTGATATTTAGGAGTGATATAAATAGAGAATGTTATTAATGATTTTGTTATTTATACCCTTAGGTCTTTAAAACTTACTAGCACTCTTGAAGGCATTGCTTTAGCCTCGTCATTTCTTTGTTTCTTATGTTGTTTAATTTTTTAATCACTCGAATTAAATATCCTTTCGTTCAAAAGAAAAGGATAAAGAAGGAAGGAGGGATCGTTTTTCTTTATTAATGTGTTTGCAGGTATTTGGCCTTTTTTCTCTGAGCAAACTTATGCAAATAGCCTATACTAGGAAAAGCTAATTCAATTTTTCAAGAATAAGAATAAGAGGAATATGAATTGCTATAGTTAACTGAGTTTTGATCACTTAGCCACTGTGAGTGTTTCTTTGGTGGGAGAGAAGGGGCCATGGGAGTTTTGCGTGTTTTCATTTTTCTCAAATTAGAGTATTTTAGTTCATTTATAAAAAATCTTATTTAAGTTAAAAAATGAGATTAAGTTAAGTCTCTAGGATTTCACAGCTATTTGTGTATTTGGTGAGACTTTGTGGCAATTAAAATGCTTGCATGGGACTTTATAGTTATTTTTTCTTGTTTTTACTTGAACGACCAATTTATGCACACCCACAGCACATAAAAATATACCCCCTCTAGTTCTATTTATATGCATCCAACATATTTCATTGAAATTAAGAAAAACTTTAAACTTGTTAACTCCGTTTTGAAATTTAATAAATTTTCACCTCTACGAGCTATATTGAATAATTTTTCCTAGCTCAAGCCAAATATAATAATTTTTTCTAGCATTTATTAAGGGTAGAAATGTAAAAATAAACATAAAAAATAATAAAATGCCCTATAAATATAATTAAAATTAATATTTTTTGTCTTATAAATAGAATTAGAGGAGTATTAAATAGTATAATATAATATTAGGTTAATGCAATTTGAATTTTAAATTATAAGTCTAGAGGTGATTTGAACCTTAGACTTTTATTTAGTACATTTTTGATTGTAAACAATTAAAGTTGACGTAATTTCACTCCCACCATTAAATTAAAACAAACGTTCAATTTTTTTAAAAAAAATGAGACCTAATATGCAATTTTCCTCAAAGGAAGGTAGGAGAGAGAGGGAGAGTGAAATTTAGTGAAAATCACACGCTAGGTCCCATTTACAAAAAAAAAAAAGAACAACAATGGATGTTCGCTTTAATTTAATAGTTGGGACAAAATTACATTAATTTTAATTATTTAGGATTCAAATTATTTATGAATCTATAATTTATGGTCTAAATGTATATTAATCTCGTAATAATTATTACCATCGACTTCTTCTGTCACATGTGTGTACATGTATATCTAAATTTATAATTTTTTTAAAAGAACTTCAAAGGACTTTAAAAAGTGTCAACCACATGGGCTGCTTCCCCGTTCACGTAATCAAATTGTCCCTTCTCTTTCCCTCTCATGGTATATCTAATCTAGCGTCCTTTGGTAGTAATTCCAATAAGATTATCGTTAATAAAATAAAATATTTGTAAACAATAAAAAAAATTCAAAAATTCAAGAAAAAATTGCTAACAAGGGCTGAATTAGTGAGGCATCTGTCGTTAAGGACTTTAAATATGTAAAATTACTTAGTGGAATTTTATGAAATTTTTTATGAAGATGTGAAAGGCACATGAAAAATCAATAAGATCGCTTGTTAAATAAAGAAAAACTATTTTAAGTTTCAATTTCTATTGTGGGGCTTCATTGTATCTTAAAATGATAGTGATTGAAAGTGTTACATGTTAAAGTGTGATTGGTTAATTGACATGGAACTATTTGTCTCTAAAATTAATAAAATATTTGAACTAAAAGTAAGTGATCAGTTGATCGGTGTAAATTTCCTTATACACTTTTTTCAAAAAATATCAGTCAAACGTCTTTTAATCCTATTTTTAAGAATTCATATTTTAAGTTAATTTCCATGGAGAAACAGGATCCTATTTTTAAGAATTTTACTAACAAATGTTTCTTCATTTAATCCTTATTGGAAATTTTTCTAATACATATTTATTCATTTCAAGAAACAAGATCCTATTTTTAAGAATTTCATTAACAAATATTTCTCTCATAAATCCTTATTAGCAATTTTTCTAAAACCTATTTATTCATTTCAAGCATTTAAGTTGGGAGAATTTCAATAAAGACCCATTAATTACACTTATTTAAATTTAAAACTTCTAAATTTTAAAATTACATTGCAGTCTAGATGTACTCATTTGACGTTAAATTTTTAAACAAATGATAAAATTACTGTTTATTTAAATTAATATCAAAACTGTCTTACTTCACTTATTCATTTTCTTGAAATGAAATTAAGTAAAAGTCTGATAATGAACAAGTGAAATAGAGTCATAAACAATTGTATATAACAAGCTTGTTAAACTCATAAGTTTAAGTAAATTCATGACAAGAATGTAAACTCAAACTTAGATCGTAAACTTGTAAGAGTTTACTTCTATTAATAAATAATCATTAATAGTATATAATTAAATAATTAAAATATAAAATACAACCATCATTTGATTTAAATATATTTTAAATACAAATCAGTGAAATCAAACCTGTCTACATTGATAGATTATCATACAATATAGATATTTCAAAATAGGGCAATTTATTTTTAGTATTTTTTATTTTTATTAATATTTTTTTGATTTTTAAGTTTTTTTTCTTTGAATCAAGTCCTACCACTTCTATAAATCGAGTTCTACATAATATATACTTAATTCACTTAACTCCATAAAAAAGTTGATGAGTTTAACAAGTTTAACTAAGTTTGTATTTAGTTTAATTTTATAAATTAGTTGACATGATTTTGTAAATTTAAAACGTAGAAATGGTAAACTTGTCAGTTTAACCGAGTTCATGAGTGATTTGACACGATTTTGTGAGCTAAAAGTGTAAAAACATTAAACTCGGAGAGTCAATTTGGGAATTTGACAACCATAGTCCATAAGTAAATAAATAACATATAATATAAAAATCAACAAATTATCTTGAGATAATTTAAACATATAAAATGAAAATAAGTTAAGTAAGACAATTAATATTTTATAAGTAAATGAATAAGTGAAGTATGACATTAAACAAGTGAAATGAGAAAGTTTTGATATTAATTTAAATGAGAGCCGACTTTATTATTTTTTAAAAAAATTAATATTAAATTAATACTTTTGAATTGTAATATAATTTTAAAAATTTATCGGTTTTGAATTTAATAAGTGTAGTTAAAAGATTTTTATTAAAATTTTTCTATTTAAGTTTTGAGATCTTAGGATATGATTTGGCCTACTTTCCCGTCCAATAAATTGTGGGTGGCATCTTTTCTACGTATCAAGTCCTTCAGTCGTCATAATAATTCATAAACATAATTAAATTCATGCTGCTCGAGGGTGTGATTTACTGGCACTGTTGCACCGATTTTGTCATAACTCGGCAGCCGAGGGCACTTAGAGAAGAACAGTACTATGATATACGTAAGGGCAGAGCTAAAATTTAAAAATAAGGATGATCAAGATTAAAAATATATATATATTACAAAGTTTTTGTAAATTTTAAAAGGTTTAAAAATATGTAACACCTATATAATATAAAAAATTTAAAAAAATTGGGAGGGGGTGTGGCACTTGTTGGTCCTCTCTTCCCCCGCCACTGAACTCATATATGGCTTTCTAGAAAGTTCTTATGTTAGTATGTTACAAAAAAAAAAAAAAAACAAAGGTCTCTTTTGATATAATGAAAGAGTTTTTGATTAAATTATAATTTAAATTAGAATTAGAATCAAAATTCAAATGTAATTAGATTTTAAAAGTGTATTTGACATTAAAATGGAGTCCTAATATAATTTTAATTAATATATGTATTTAAAATAAAAAAGATCAAATTGCCTTTTTTTTTTCAAAATAAAGAAAAACCTCCTTTATCATAAACAAGCAAAATACATGAGGGTAATGGGGTTCATAAAATGAATTTAAGGGAATTGAAGTGATTCCTTTGTCATTACGGTGAAATTGAATTCTTACATTTTTAATAAATTTAAGATTTTTAAGAATTGTAACTCTTACATACTCTCTTCATTTAAAAATGTAATTTTGATCAAATCTTACATTTGTAAAGTAGTTACTTATTTTTAAATTAATCCTATCTTTTTATATTTAACTCTATTTAATAGGGTGTTTCATTTTAAAATAAATATAAATTGATTTATAAAATAGAGGAACTTAAAAAAAAAAAGATAATGAATATATCTTGAAAAACTAAAGATTACATTTTTAGATATCCAATCTCTTAAAAAATATTTTATATTTTTGAACAAAGAGAATACCAAACATGTTTAAATTAACATTCTTTTTCTAATTTTATTTTTACCTTATATATCAAACATGGCCAAAAGAAAAAAATTTAGCTGGAAATGAAAAGAGAATGAATCCGCTCTCTTGCTTGGTTGGCAAAGTGGAGGAGGGATATATTATCCTTTAATTACAGATCTTGACATGAAATTTTAAAAATGTTAGAATTATTTCATATGAGGATATCTAATTTTTTTTACATAAATTCATATGAGGATATCCTAATTTTTTTTTTACATAAATACATTATGGTGAGGAAATAATAATAATGTCGGAAAAAAGTTTGTAAAAGTTTTATTTCAATTTTCAAGAAAAAAGACCCGCCAAAAGAATCATTTGATTACTCGTGATTAAACCATCAAATTCAAAACTAATTGATGTGTCTGCTCAATTTCTCTCCCCGAGAGTGCTCTTTCAGTTCGTCTCTCCCTCGCTTTTCTTTTGATTTCACCTCCCTCCTCTCTCTCTCTCTCTCTCTCTCTCTCTCTCTCTCTCTCTCTCTCTCTCTCTCATATTCATATATATTATCATCTCTCCTCTGCCTTTTCTCCCGCAAATCTGGCTTTTTTGTCCCTACCTTTGATTCTTTCGAAGGTCGGGGAAATGGTGTGTTCAGGGCAAACGATTCTCGTAACTGGCGGTGCGGGTTTCATTGGATCTCACACAGTGGTTCAGCTTCTCAAACAGGGATTCGATGTTTCCATTATCGACAATTTCAACAATTCCTCGATGGAAGCAGTGAATCGGGTTCGAGATTTGGTGGGTCCGCAGCTTTCTCAGAATCTCGAGATCAACCAGGTATCAGATGCCTCGTTCGGTGCCAATTTGATTTTCTTCGGGACTTCAGAATGCATTTTAATTTATTACATCTCAGCAATTATTACTTTTGCAGGGTGATCTCAGGAATAAAGAAGATTTGGAGAAGGTCTTCAACAAAAAGAAGTAAGTTAATTATGCTTTTCATTTTATTTATTTTTTTCATTGGATATCTCTGTTAAATCTAAAACACATTTAGAGCTAAGGCTTTGTTTTTTTTTTTTCCTGTGCTTAATCACGAGAAGATTTGATGCTGTGATCCACTTTGCGGGCCTGAAAGCAGTTGGAGAAAGCGTTGCCAAACCCCGCAAATACTTCGATAATAATATGGTCGGCACTATCAATCTATATGAAGTTATGGCAAAGTATAACTGCAAAAAGGCAAGTTCTCGTTTCAATCTTTAAAATATTCGGTTCTGTTCTTGAATCTCTAGTAAGGAGGAAGCCTAGTGTGAATTTTCCGGATTTATATCCTCGTAATTGCTTGGTGATGCTAATTTCAAGCTGTGTTTCGGCAATGTGGCTTCCTTGACCTTGAGCATCTGATGATTACACCCACGATTGTTGCGTTTGGCGCATGATACTGAATTGACGGAAGGCTCTACATATGCGTTATAATCATGTTTTTCCTATTTCTGGAGATAATTGATTTCGGATTTTATATTTGCTTGACATAGATGTTGCAATTTCTTTTTATTTTTATTTTTTTAAACAATAACATGGAATTTTACCAGCTGTTGACAATTCATTCTATAGGCTTAACACTTCTAATTTATATCTTTGGGTAGAGTAGATGGTTTTTTTCGTCATCTGCCACTGTTTATGGCCAACCTGATGAGATACCCTGTGTTGAGGATTCTAAGTTACAGGCCATGAATCCTTATGGACGGACGAAGGTAATCATCCCTATGGTTTAAGAACATTTACTTTCTCTGTTTCATGACTTGTTTACAGGATCTACTGATCTAGTCCGTTGTTCCCCCCCTAATTTTCTCTCTGACACACCATTTCATGATAGCTTTTTAGTGAAGAAATTGCTCGAGACATTCAGAGAGCTGAGCCAGAATGGAGAATCATTTTACTGAGATATTTCAATCCAGTAGGGGCCCATGAAAGTGGTAGAATTGGTGAAGATCCTCGGGGCATCCCAAATAATCTAATGCCTTACATTCAGCAAGTTGCTGTTGGGAGATTGCCAGTGCTCAATGTATATGGATATGATTATCCGACAAAGGATGGCAGCGCGGTTAGTAAATCCGAATAACTACAATTTCTGTTTTAAATGGAAGATTCTGGAGTTGCATATTCCAAACCCTTTCTGTGGGGAACAATGCAAACTCAAGTAGAAGCAGAAACACATATTTTTCCCGTTCTAAATTGTTAAACTACTTTTTTTTTTTTTTGAAATCAGATACGGGATTATATTCATGTAATGGACTTAGCAGATGGTCATATTGCTGCCTTACGGAAGCTTTTTGCAACAGAAAACATCGGTGATTAATCCTCCTTTTCTTTGTCTTGAGCTGCAACAAAATTTTGGACATGTTTCTTAATTCATCCCGTTTGTTGTTGGGGCCACTTGGTGCTTAGGTTGTACTGCTTACAACTTGGGAACTGGTTGTGGCACATCAGTGCTCGAAATGGTAGCAGCCTTTGAAAAAGCTTCCAGTAAGGTAATTGTGCATCTTCCTCGCAAAAGCGCCCCCTTCTCAGACGCACGACATTTGATTGCATGTATGCAAATGGTGAAATCTTTTCATCTGGTTTTTCTATTTTACAGAAACTTCCAGTAAAAATGTGTCCGAGAAGGCCAGGAGATGCGACTGTTGTTTATGCATCTACAGAGAAGGCTGAGAAAGAACTAGGATGGAAGTAAGTATTTTCATACTAGCTCTTGCACACAAAAAGACTGGTTTATTTAATCAGATAAACTATTCATACTTCTAAGAATTTATACGATGCTTCCTTATGATTCAATAGCTAATTAGCGGACTGTGGTAAGCCTTTTATCTTGTATCTCATATTTTTTTGTGGAACATGCTCCCTTTGCCAGGGCAAAACGCGGCATTGAGGAAATTTGCAGGGATCAATGGAAATGGGCAAGCAACAATCCATGGGGATACCAGGGGAAGCCTTGAATTAGCTTTGAAGAATAGAACACAATGCTCTTTGATCCAGTTTCAGTGGAAACGTGTTGTAGAAGAGGAAGTCTGTCATCATTTTTTGGGCCCTATACCATATCATTTTGAGAATACGATTTGAATATAATTCTTTGCCTGTATGATTGGTTCTTTACACTATAATCATCATTATTTATTTTTTCCATGTTCATTCTTTACACTCCTGTTATAGGGGATTGTTGATTCTTGCACTCCAATGATAGAAATAATTGTCCCATTGTTTGATAATGAGTTGCTGTTTTGCATGAGCAACATTTTGAGGTGAAATGTAATGGTGAAATAGGGTTATTATGTCTCTTTTCAAAGTTGATACCCTCAATCTGTACTGAAATTGACATTTCATTCTGTGTGAGCCTCAGCCAACATGTGAAGTAACGGCCTTCTGCATTTTGAAAGCAAGGTATCAAGGTAATTCTGTCATTGGTTTCAAGTTTGTATTGTGGTATTGAGGGTTGCTACATTTTTGTCCTGAACTTGATGTGGAAGCAAATAAAATGACATGTAAATAGGGTGCTGCTGCTTATAATTTAGGAATTCTTGCCCTTCTTTTTCAATCATTTTTTTTTTAAATTGACATGTTATCAATGCAGCTGATCCCTCAATTCAAGTATGTTGCTTTGGAGCTTTAGATTCTGGTTCATTGGCTCATGGGTTGCTTGCAAAAGCTCCTGCTAAGGCCACGCCATCGTGAGTTATTGTTCATTTAATTTTTTGATTATGGAGTTATTTCTTTTTTTTAACCTTGCTACTGAGTCATAAAATTCACCTTTTGGCTTATTTGGTCTATTTTAAGAAATACTGGTAATAATGAAGGACGGTATCTAACTTTGGAGAATTACAGAATAATGAAACTATTGGTTTTTCAAATTTGTTTTAATTATTAATTTGGTTCATCAAATTTATTTTTTTTTTCAGTTTAGTTCTTTATGTTTTTTTTTTAAATTATCATGTCCGTTTTTTAAGTTTTAAAACATAAACAAATTCTCAAATTTAATCTTTTGTTTTCTTACAAATAGATAATTACATTTTTTTATTAATTTATATGTTTGTTATCAATATTTTGTTATTCATGTTAACAAATTTTAATAGTGTTATTTATTTTTAAAATAATTAGAAGTAAATTGATAATTAAAATAAATTTAAGGATTAAATTAATAAAATTAAACATTTAAACTTAGCAAATTAAATTAATATTTGAAAAACTAAATTTTATTACCCCCAACTTTTCTTGCATTGCATCATATATTTTAATTTCAAGGAACTGAGGATATCACAATGCTTCACATAAAAAAGATTAGTTTTTTTGAAGTGACGTTTTGTATTGGCATCTTTATAGTTTGGTTCATTTTCAAATCAGTTATGGGATTCAGCAAGACATTGCCTCAATAAATTATGGTATGCCAATCCCTTTAATGAATATGGCACACTTGAGTTTCCTCGGATCTTAAATTTAAGATTCCGTCGGTTTTGTTTATTAGTTGAGGGATGCATGTTGCCTCTCTCTAAATGTGAAAATAAGTTAAGTCAAGTTAAATTTTAATTAAATAGATTTGAAAGGTTAAATTAAATTTTGATTAAATTGAATTGAATTTGTATAATAAATCAAAAGTCTGAGCCTAATTTAAAATTTATATAAAACTTTTCTCACCACTCAATTTTGAGTTTATTTAATGCCTGGCCTGACTTAGTTTAAAAATCTATTTAAATACCTACTTAAAAACAAGCTTTTTAAATAAACTTAAATTTTAATTTTAAACATCTTAAATATATTTTAGGATTATTAGTATAAATATATAACATAATTTATCAATTATAGTATATAATAATTAAAAAGACTTGTGCGCTATAATATAATAATAAAATAATAATATTAAAATTAATATATAAGTTTAATCTAATTGAAAACGTAACTAGAAATAAAAAAATAGATTGATTAAAAATTAAATGATAAAACTAATGTGTGTGATATACTGCATAATATGCGTTTGTGTAAATAGGGTAGTCTATTGAGCTCGTAAGTTAGGTCTTGAAAAATTAAACATGATATATTTAATTAAATAAGTTTAATTAAAGGTTTAAATTTAGTTTGAGTTTATTTAATAAATAAGTTAAAATGAGCTTGAAATAGATTAAGGCGTAAGCCTCTAATAGGGCCTGATCTATTTCCATATTTGCCTGTGCCTAAGGACCATTTTGCTTAGGGAAAAGTCTTAAGACTTTTTTTTTTAAAAAAAATAAATCATACTATTATTTTTGCATTTTATATTAATTTTAATGATGATAATGACAAAGATTTATTTTTGTTCATATCTTTATTTAGAATGAGTTATTGTTGGGTCAAATTTTAGTATTATCATATCTAATTGAAAAGTTGGCCAAAAAAATATATCTAATTGAAAATAATTTTTTTAATGAAAGTTTTTATTTGCAATTAAATTAAGACATGCATATTTTTTATAAATTATTTATTCTATAACAAATTATTGTTATTAATATTATTAAAATATTAAAATTCACATATATTGATTTAATTAGATAAAAGTATATTAAATATATAAAACTAAGTACATAAATCTTGCTCATTTTTTAATTTAGTTTTTTTACAAAAAAAATAAAAGAAATTACGCAATGAGAAAGCCCCATAGATATAAAAATAAAATAACTAATATTATTCAATGGCTTACGAATTACGAGTGGAGATTATCCATTTATCACAATTTGACATATGTTGTCATAAAATTGCATCAATTTTCTATCAAAATATGCGGACCAAATGCTGAAGTCAAATATAAACCAAATTCATGTTTTTCATAAAGTCCACGTTGATGATCAAAACCGATCTCGAAGGTTTCCTTTCAAAGTCAATTTTGATTCCCACATTTAAACCATAAGTTTCATGCAACATCTGTTTCTGATCAATCTCATGATACTAAAATATATTAAATTAAGTATATATTTAGTTTCACGCTGAAAATTATGATTAATATAAAATTAAATACACTCTAAATGCCTGTTTGGAGATAGCATTTTTCAAATCTTAATTGTACTTTTGGTCCAATATTGGAGATAAATGTTGTGAGAAGCAAAGAAGAGGAACTTTTGGAAAAAGCACTTTCGAAATGACAAAAATAAATCAGCCTTTAAGATGAATCAAAGGAAGCATTAGCAATAGATTGAGCATAAAATTGTCAATAAGTCGTTACAGTGAGAGAAGAAAGGATGTTTAGAAAATTAAATACTATTAAGGGCGAGGATTGTATATTTTGCCAACATCTCAGCTTTAGATGATTTTAGCAAGATATGTTTACTTGCTTGATCTATCGTTAAACAAAATTAACAGTGTCTATGTGATTCTTTCCTCTCATACATGGGGGAATTAATCCTCAAGAATCACATGCACAGGTTCAAGACACGGAATGGAGAGTTTTTTGTGAATAATAATAATAATAAAAAAATCCTGCCATTATTTTGTTTTGTTTTTTGAATTTAATACCCCTGATCACTTTTGTTTTGTTTTTAAACTTTGTCAATAGCAGATATTATTTCTTCTGAGATACCGAGGGCAAATGACAGATCTCTCTCGACTAAATTGTTTTATACATAAAAGTTGTGCTTTAAAGTCTCAACAACTTATTTAAGCAATAAGGGTCCTTATTATTTATGCTAATTTTTTTTATTTTTCATGAATAATTTTTTATTAAAAATAATCTTATTCGATACATTATTAAAAATGTTAGCACCTCTTTCATTGAGGATTCAAAACTTAATTTACTATGTTATAAAAAATTAATCTCTTTTATTAAACCTAACCCTATTAATTTTACATGAACTTTAATTGATTATAAAATTACATTTTTCAATTCACCCTTTCTTAAATTTTCAGCCTCACGATAATGGGGCCCATAAATGATAAATCCAACACTGTTATTTGAAAAGTGCTTAGCAAGGGGCGGCCCTCACTGACATCCCTTTCGGAATTCAAATTTGGTTGCAATGTTGTTTGAGTGCAGACATATGTGTCTGTATTATCTTCAATGTTGTTCCCCCGAAATGCTTAGAATGATAGATTATTAGATCATATGATATGGCATAATGTCTTCCACGTGGGTTCTAATGTTTGGAGTTAGTTGTAAGGTAATAAACAAGAACATAGTGGCTATAATACTGTTATCAAAGCTACCTTTTTTCATATCTTATTTTATTTAAAATTTGGACTGACTGGTTTTAAGAATGCTACAATAAAATTTAGACATGCAAGTGTTTGATATATGATATCATGGAGTCATATTTAAATATCATTAGATTTAACTGGGAGTAGCTTTTGTAATGTAATTTTTTTTCTATTCATGTGTTTTTTTTTGTTTGGCTCTCATACCTTAGATATTTGATTCATAATAATTTAGCCAACAACTTGTGGATACTTTTTTGAGGAGTGTATCTCCCATCAAGAATTTAATCCTTGCTATATATTTAAAACTTAAACTTAAGATTTCTAATTAAGAGGAATCTACCTCTAGCCGGTTGATTCAAATACCATACATTTATTTATATAGTCTAAACCCCTTATTTTTAGGGAAAACTGATTTTGTTTTATTCAACCAATTATCAACCATTGTGTTATTAAAAATTTCAGGGAAAATTATTTTCAAAAATCAAATTCAGAAGTTTTTTTTTCCCTTAACAACTTCGAAAGATAATTACTCATAGTTTCACTTATAAATTTATACTGTCTAAATAATAAAATAATGATAAATTTAGTTCAATTTGTAAATTTGTACTATTTTAATGGCAAATAGTCATGACTGGAATGATTATAAATTTATGGAGGGAGTTTTTTTTTTATAAGATCATTTTACAAAAAATATTAATTTCAGAATTTTTTTAGAGATTTCAAAGTAATCAGACCATCTTCCTTACTTTGTGGGGGGTTTTTTTTTTGGGGGGGTCATAAACAGAGGGTCTTTTTCTGTCATTTTTTCTAAAAATTTATACCGTAATTAAATGCAAGAAGTATATGTCCCACGAAAGCAAGGCTGCTTGGTTCTGCATTTTTCCCCTTCTCTTTTGTGACCCGTACAAGAAAAAGTTCATGGAAACCCGCTTTTAGAGGCAAAGGTGTCCTAACTCTGAACTTCAAACCTACACGAGACACATTT